AAAAAAAAAAAAAAAAAAAAAAAATGCTTTGAATAGTCAGACTCCAAAAGACCTTTTACAAGACCTTATAGTTTAATATATACACTAGTATACTTCGTTTTAGATTATAAATTAATGTGGCTGTTTTATGTGATTGAATCTGGGTTCTGATTTTTTTAATATATGTATTTTAGGGGGTGTCAAATTAGTTTCCCTGCTCTAATTTTCTATGATATTGTTAGTGTTATAAATAGGGATGATGAGCTAAAAAAGGAGGGTAGAATTTGTAAGATTCAGAAAAAATTGAGGTATGTGAACTGATTTTATTTTATTTATTTTTTTTGACAGAACTGGGGATTGAACTCAGGCCCTTGCGCTTGCCAGGAAAGCGCTTATTCCACTGAGCCATCTCCCCAGCCCCCTGATTTTAAAATAGACACTTTTTTTTTTCCAGTATAAAAATGTCAAACTTTTTTTGACCTGCTAAAACAATATGTATCCTTTTTTAGTCTCATTGTTAGGCATACAGCAATGGAACCATCCCATTCATCTCCAAGTAATAAAAAGTTGTTAGAAGATGAATTTATAATTGATGAGTCCAGTAGAAGTTTTGCCCATCAACCTTGGATTACAATACCAAAAAAAGGTAGACCTTTGAACCAACATACAATATCCTGTGCCGAGAGCACTGCAGTCCTTCAAGATAAGAAGGCAGGAGAACATCAGAGTGTATCACCTGTGACTCTGACAAATGACAAACATTTATATAAAACTCACCCAGAAGAGAAATCTGAGCCCTCTAGTAAACACAAACCAAGTACAAGTTGCATTGTGATAGATGAATTGGAAAATACTCATAGATCTATGAAAGTGCATTCTGAGAAAGCTAAAAGTTCACCTAGAAACAAAAGGAAGAACAGAAAAGCAAAGCAAGAACAGAAAAGAAAATTGAAGACCAATGTTGAAGAACAGCCTGCTACAGGACAATCTGAAGATGAACATATGTCAGATATTGCGCAAGACAAGTTACCAAGAGATTCAGACAGGACTGTTGAAGGTTGTGAAAAGATAAGAAATGATCACAGTGTCAAAAAAGAGATACCTCCTGTGGGTAAGTGTTTTCATGAAATATAACTAAACATTATTCCACCATTTTATGTTTTTAATATTTTGCTTAACTTTAGGAAGTAGCAAAGTAAAACGAGATCTATAAAGAGCCTCAGAAGCCTATAGAGTCTCCTTTTCTATATGATTCATTTCCACCTCATAGTTTTTGTTTAAATTCTGAGTTGATAACAAACGTAGAGGGAAATGTGAAGGAGAAAGATGAGTAAATAAGTTAGTGATCAGGGCTGGGGAGATAGCTCAGTGGTTTAAACGCACCTGCCTGGCAAGCGCAAGGCCCTGGGTTTGATCCCTGGTACAACATAGTGTATAGTGAGACACTGTACTAAGTAAACTTTAAAGAAAAAAAGTTAGTGATCAAAATATCATAAATTCTTTGAGGTCATTAAAATATAAACTAAGGAAAAAACAGGATATTTATATGCATAGGATTAAAAGAGAAGCACGGAAAACAGTTATCTAAATATAATGTCATTTATATCTTGGGTGACCGTGTAATTTATCATCTCATCAGGACTTTGGAGATGAGACCATCTGGGATTGTCCCAGGCTAACCTAGGGTATGGTTAGGTTCTCTTTGTGTCCTCATTGTATACTTGATTATGATTTGTCATGAAGAAAGTTCAGTTTACGTTCTTTTTATTTTTCAATTAATAGAAAAATTATTCTTATGTATTGCTTTTTTTTGGTACTGGGAATCAGACTCAAGACCTCATGCTTGCCAGGTAGGCACTGTACTACTGAGCTGTATATCCCCTACCCCTAGAAAAATTATTCTTGTAGGTAGAATTCTTTTCAGAATAGGTAATGGCACAGAAAACACTTAAACGTATTAGGCACTTTATGTGTGTGTAATATAAATTAACTTTCTGACAGTCCTGTATGGTAGGAGTGAACAATGAAGGAGATTAAAAGAAAAAAAGAGAGAGTCCAGGATATGTCCTTTGTAGAGTTCATAAAACTATTAGCTAGGTAGAAAATGTTTTTGACTATAATTGTATACATGAATATATTAGATGATTGTGTACTGTGTTACTAGTTGAGAGCAGAGAGAGTACAGAGTAGTTAAACTTTTTAAAAAAGTAGACAAATTCTACTTTATTACATTTTTAAAAACTCATTTGGTTTTAGTATGTGAAATAGACAATCTATATTGCCAAAAGTTGAGGGACTTTAGTTTTGTCTGTGTGCCTTTTGCTTAAAATAGAGGAGGAAGGTTAACCTTTTCTGGGTTTTTTTTGGGGGGTTGGGGGGCAGAACATGGGATTGAACTCAGGCCCTTGCGCTTGGCAGGGAAACACTTATTCCACTGAGCCATCTCCCTAGCTCCCTGGAACCTTTTCTGTTTTGAGGAAGTCTTTCATCAGTGTCTTCCTTGTCCCATATTCTGTGAATTGGCTTATTTCTTTGTCTGCTTCCTTTAGTTTTTAATTAGTTGTTGGCCATTTTAAGAAAATATAAGATAAAGACACTGATTTGAGGGTATAGTTTCAACAAAGCTTTTGTTACTGCCTTTAACAGAATGTGAGTTCATAAAATTTGAAGGTACAGAATTTTTATGAATCCATAGTATCTTAAGCAAGGTACTACATGAAGGTTGACTACTTAAAGGATACATTTTTGTAAATCTTAAATATTTATTGAGTATGTTGTGTGTTATACACATGAATTTTCATGTTTTTTAGATTGGTTAATAAATGTAATGTTCCGATTAATTACTGTAGCACAAAGGTAGTTCTTATAGCAACACATGTTTTTTGTTGTTGTTGTTTTTTTTTCTCCAGAACCAGGCATTGAACTTAGGCCGTTGTGCTTGCCAGGCATGGGCTTATTCTGCTGAGCCATCTATGTCCCTGGCCCAATACATGGTTTTTATCTTATAGCTCTGGGTCAGAAATTTCACTGGGCTAATACCAAAGTGTTGGCAGAGCCATATTCTTTTCTGGTAGCTTGACTAGAATCACTGTTGCCTTTTCCAGTGTCTTGAAGTCAGCTATATTCCTTGACTGTGTCCTCCTTCTCCACCAGGGTTCTCATGTTTTGAATTTCTCTTATCTCTATCCATCATTTCATATCACAGCTTTTTGGGAGACATGGTGTGGTCCAGTCTGGGTAATCCAAAACAATCTCATATGAAGGTTTATTATTTAATCTCTCAGTTTTAATGTCTTCCAAAAATCACATTGAAAAAGATCATTAATTATTTCAAAATGAAAAGTACTAAATTTTAACTTGAGATGTTATATAGCAAGAGAAGTAATATTTTTTTTCAATACATTTTTTGTTTGCTTGTTTTTTGGTTTAGGAGTATGTAAGAATTACCAAACAACTTCAAAGAGTTTGCATTTAATTCACAGAAAATTGAAGTCTTTTGAAAACATGTGACTTTAAGAGAGATAAAAGGCCTACAGGATAAAATTTTGAAGTCTTGTGAATTTTTTTGACAGCTCACTGTTGACATTTTAAGTTTTCTTTAGTTTTTTAATGTCTTTCTTTATTACAGAAAATATGAAAACAAAATGTAGAACCAAAAAAGATAAAGAATCCAGAAAGAAACATTTTTCCAGTGAGTCTAAGAGGGAAAAAATTGTACCTGAAGAAATGACTTTCACTGTCACAAGAAGTCGCAGAATTTCCAGGCGTCCATCTGAATGGTGGGTTGTACCTTCGGAGGAAAGTAAGTGTTATTTAAACTATGTTCCAATAAGTTGAGTGGTCCCCAAAAGTCATTTTTGAACAAATTTATGTTTGACTTACATTGTTGTTATACAGAAAACCTCATGAGAATAGAGTTAAATTAATCATCATTTATTTGGTAATTAAATCAATTATAAGAAAGTTCTTAGATGGTCTTCTGGGTGTATAGATACTGCAATGGAAAAAGGAACTCAAGAACCAAAGGCCCTTGCTGTCATGAAACTTATATGCTAAGGGGAGAAGAAAATATAGATAAATAATTCATGTGTTGGTAGATAATAACAAAAATAAAATAATGGACAGAAATGAGATGACAGGAGTGAATTAGAGGTTAGAATAGGATATTATTTTTATTATTTTTATAATAGGTAATATGATAGCCTGTTAGGATCTTTCAGAACCCATGTATGAATAAATTAGAGAAGGAGTTATACAGACAGCTAAGAGTGGAACTTTCCATACCAAGGAACGGTGTTTGTAAGTGTCCTAAAGGAGAATAGTGTGACATGAGCAGAGTGAAACAGAAAAGATAAATTTTAATACGCAGACCATGATAAAGAGTTGATAACCTCAGTGGGACACCGGTCTGGGGAAAGTGGGAGCATGGTGACTAGTTTTAGGACATTGGTGAAGGTAATAGATAATAATTGGATTCAGGATTATTTTTTTAAAGAACATAAAAGGAGCGAGTACTAATGAGTTTGAAGGTGAAACTCAAACTCAGCCTGGGATCACTCATAGGTTTTTTTGTTTTGATTCTTTGAGATAGGGTTTTATGTAGTTCCGGCTGCCCTTGAACTCTGTATGTAACCCAGTGGCCTTGCACTCAAGCAGTTTCTGCTTCAGCCTCCCAAATGCTGGGATTACAGGCATATACCACAACACCTTAGATATTTGTGAGAGAAAAGGATTTGGGAAACATTGAAAAATTTCAGGTTTTTACGTGTTTGATAGCAAAGTGGATGTGTATTGAGGTCTTCAGATCAGCTATAAGAGACAAGTACAGATACAGCACTACCTATGTGAGGGCTTGTGAATTATTGAGTCATAGGAATAGTTACTGAATTATGAAGATCCTTGATATCAGTTCTTACTTGCTGCAGGCTTCCTTGGATTTTGGAGTCAAATCTAAGTTATCATGACTCCTCCCATTGGGTAATTTTTTTCTTTAGTTTTTCACTAATCCCTCTCCTTTGAGGAACTTATCTCCTTTTAATTTTTATAAGGATTATAGACGAGTAATATATGTAGTAGATTGCAGTGTTAACTACTACTACTATTAGTGTTGTAGGGAACTTACTTTTCTTCTCCAAGTCGCCTGAAACACATGAGTAATAAAAATCTTGCAGAGGTTGGATAAACCTGCTAGAACTCTGAAACTTAGCAAAAAAGCCTTCTCTAATAGTCCTGAAATACATGTTGGATTTCTGACCAAGTTAAGAGTCATAAAAATAGACTCTGAAAATATTCATAGGTCATATAGTCCACAAACTCCTTCAGCAGATGGAAAAAGAAACTGAAACCTGAAGTCCAGAAAAGTAACATGATATTGTCCCTAAAGTGCATGTAATATATATGTGGTTCTGCTGCCCTTTTGTATATATGAATGTACAATTATTATGTGCTTGTTATGCAGGAATGGTATGTAGGGCCAGGACTAGTGTAATACAAATGAAGCAGTACAGCAGAAAAACTTAAGTTATCACTTGGTTTCAAAGTTGTGTGAATACAGGGTTCGGGGAGATAGCTTAGTAGAATAACTGCTTTCCTGGCAAGCACAAGGGCCTGAGTTCAATCCCTGGGTTCACAAAAAAACAAATAAATAAATAAATAATAAATCCCTGACTCTCATTTTGGGGCCAGGGAGATGGCTCAATGGAATAAGCACTTCCCTGGCAAGTGTAAGGGCCTGAGTTCAATCCCTGGGTTCACAAAAAAACAAATAAATAAATAAATAATAAATCCCTGACTCTCATTTTGGGGCCAGGGAGATGGCTCAATGGAATAAGCACTTCCCTGGCAAGTGTAAGGGCCTGAGTTCAATCCCCGGTTCTGCCCCCCCCCCCAAAAAAAAGGAAAAAAAAAGTTGTGTGAATACAGCCTCTTACTTGTATGACCCTGGGAGTAAGTGCTTTCACTGTATTGGTTTACAGCATTTACACTGCTGTTGTTAGTCACTATGACCAGAATAGGTAAAACATGGTCAGTTTCTTAGTCTCAATGAATTGTCATTCTGCTAAAGGAGATGGCTGGAGATAATCAGTCAGATGTGTGATGCACATTTTTTTTATTTTTCAAAGTTCTTTTTTAAATGTATTTGATCCAGGGTCTTGCTATGCAATTCAGACTCATAGTGATCTTCCTGTTTTCAGCCTCTCCAGCACTGGGATTACAAGCGTGCGCCACCACACCTGGTCTTAGTGGCTGGCTCAGTGTGCCTAGGAGCAGGGCTGGTAAGGCTTGTGGTGCCAGGGATTGAACCCTGGTCCCTGTGCTTGCCTAAGCAGGCACTTAGTTCGCTGAGCTATCTTGCCAGCCCTGTGTGATGAACATTAGCTGAGAATTAGAGAGTGCTAGTTAACATATGGGGATTAGAAACTTTGTGAAGGATGAATTAGGAGCTACCTAATTGGGTGATAGCAGGTGAAAGAATGGCATGGCTCAAGGAGAAGGAGCATGTGCAAGTTTGTTCATTTTTCTCTGTAGCATGCCTCCATTGCCTGGATGTCTTGTTATAACAGATTTCCGAGCCCTCTCTGCCAGATTGTTGCTGTAGGTCTGAAATAGGACCTGAGAATTTATATTTTAAACAAATGCTGAACAAACGCCAAAATGAACTTGTCTAAGGAGTGTCTTAAGAACCAATTCTTTAGAGAAAGTGCAAATAATTCATCACTGCTAGATTTCCAGTTTCTTTGGAAGGGGATATGAGATTAGTTGTTAATAAGGTAAGTAAACTATTGATAGACAGGAGAGTGTGAAACACAGGACAGTTGAGAATTAGAACTGAAGCACTAAGGGATTGGACTGGGGTAGGAGCAAGAGTTTTA